TCCTGAAGGCCAGTCTGATGTGGGTGGACGACTGCGGCAGGATGGAGAAGCACTGGTAGGCAGTGTTGGTTCTCTGGGTCAAGCCCAACATCGGCACAGTGGGCAGCTTGTTGATGGCATTCAATGGAGCCTGAGTATCAAACAATACCTACAAGGAACAAACGCAGTATCAGCAGCCAATTTCTGTGCAAATGCTAAAATCTCAGAATTTTCAAGGTATAATCACCACAAATTAGAGTGTCCTTCTGGCATTCTTCATAAAATCTTCTGTCACTGAAGACAAGTTAAGGCCACATGATTTTTTGAGGAGTTTTACGTCAGACATTCAATCTTATTTTTAAACGTAAAACAAACTTAATTACCTGTAATAACTGAACCACATTTGGTGTTTTATTGAACATTTCTTGAAGCTGATGGAGAATGGTATTGTGACAGTTACTGCATCCTGAGTTTGGACCAACAGTTCCCAAAGAAATGTGAAATTTCTGATGTATGGAATTCCACTGGATACTAATCTAAATCAAAGAGATTACACGTTGCAGAAAATGAGAAAGGAAAAGATTCAAGCAGAAGGAAAAATCATGTTTAAACAGTAAGGCAAAATGCCAAAGATCTAAATGAAGTCTTTTTTGAAAGCAACTCATAAGACTCTAAACTCTAGACGTGCTGTCACTACTGACCAGTATATTCGCTGAGCATGTATGTATTAGACAGCCCACTTCTACTAAATAAAACAGAAAGAGAAGGTGCTAAAGAAAAACAAATTTGACTAAAATCATCAGTTTCTTGTTTTTCAATTTTCTCTTGAACTGAGGAAGAGTCACCCTCTTTAGGTGAGCACCATCACAGAGGGAAAAGAAGTGAGCCCAACACAGACGCCACCTTCAGTTAACAGATTTTAAAACACTCAAGTAATTTCAGGTATTACTTTATGTGGAAGAGTCCAGAAAAAAGCCAGCTGGCTGAATTTACATATTAAATTTCTAGGACTTTACATGTGAAGTGGGGAAAAAAATAAGGAACTATAGATTATGGGGAATACCTTCAAGATTAAGATAGGATCAAACAACGTTAATAATCCTGTGACTAAAAGCAGACATACCATATTGTTCAAGACCATTGATACATAATCTTCATTATAATAATCACTCTGCTAAGCAGATTTGAAATCAGTGAAGGAAAAAAATACAGACACCAAAAGCACATTACCTTGTCCAAAACTCTTCAAGAATACATACACCAAAGAGGGTAGAATTTTTGTTTTCAATTTTAAAGAGTTAATAAGCATCATAGCATACTATATTTATATCAATAAAATATTTAAAAATTACCATTTTATCCTTAATTTTTACTTGAGCCCTCAATTATTTCAAGAAAGTTTTCACGATTTTTGAATTCTTATTTTTTAAAAAAAATGTATGAGAGGAACTTCAGTTTTAATTAATTCACAGACTTACTGAGCTTCCCTTGGTGGTTCCATAACACAAGATAAGCTTTCGGTAATTATAAACACGAACTTCTGAGAAAATGTTTAGATGTGTGGGTATGTCTAAACAGGAAGAAAACAAGAAGGAATTTAAGATTATGCATGAAAAATTTAAAAATATATATTTAAAAAGAGGGCATCTTGGTATTATATGCCTAGATAGAAAAGTCTCTATATATCTTAATTTAAAAAAAAAGAAGGAAGCAAAAAAGACAGCACAGCATAAACAGATAGTAGGCTTCCATTTCCATTCCTACAAAAGGGCAGGGGTGGAGATGCCCTGAAGCAGTATAGCACAGGGGTTATTAGGGAGTTCCAATTCCCTTCCAATGTCCTTCATGAGCTACGTAAACCTCAGCAAGCTTCTTTTGTCTCTATGATTTGTTTTTCTTCATTTGTAAAATGAGGAATAATAAATTACCGACCTCATAGGGTGATTGTGAGGACTGAATGGGTTAATGCCAGTAAACTATTTACTATATTGGTATGGCGCATAGTAAACCCTCCATAAGTACTAGTACTATAACCTGGCACACCTGTGTGTGAACATTGCTGAATGCATAAGAAACCTAACAGTGGTTGTCTCGTGGGGAAGGAAACTTAAGTCTGAGCTGAAAGGGAAACTTACTTTTCATTAGATATACTTATGAATTCTTAATTTTTATTTTTTTACAATGTGCATGTTTTAATTCTTCAGTTAAAAAAGGTGTTGGGGTGTGGGGGGGATGCCTTTTTCCCCCCAAAAAGGAAAATTATCACTTGTACCTGGTAGAGAACGTGCAAATTCCAACACACACTCATATAATCGTGCAATGCTATTCCAGTCATTAAGGAACATTTCAACCACTTTTCTACCACCAACGGGTTCAGACAACAGGTTTTCATATGTCAGATAAACATGCCGGGATGGTCCTACAGGATTAAATGAGAAGATTAACAGTAATCAATACTGAAAGAAAAAAATCCAGAAATATGCAAAGACAAAGTGTGTGAAGGATCTTACCTTGCTCCCTGGTAGAAGTGCCATTAAGTGGACAATTTGCAAACACTAACTCTGCCACCCATGTGCGGTTATTTCTACCTTGTAATCGGAAAGTGCAATCGAGCAGAGAGCGGTCCAGAGCCTTTTGGGTTTCCTCAGTTACTCCCTTACAGGGAGGAATTCTGGTGATGAAAGATAGCATATGAAGTGGACTTCATATCATAGAAAGACAAAAACACAATTTACACAATGACAGGCAGGGTATCATATTAGAACTTTGGTTCAAGCTCCACTACTGGGCACCTTCTGCAAGAGAAGGAAGCAATTCATAGAATTCACAGCAATTAATAGCATTTAACTCACTCCCATTCATAACAACATGGATTAGGACACTCATTTTAACAAAGCGATTTGCCTTCATCCTTAATCTTGTTGTTAGAGAAGACCAAAATTCTTCGGAATGAAAATCAAAGATACTGGCTTTCTATGAAATCTACCCAGCACATCCTGAAGGAAAAGCTAAGGGGAACAAAATACTTGTAAAATCACTCTGAAGACAGGATGATACAGTGGAAAGAACAGGGGCTTTGGATGGTCAGGGACATGCATTCTAATTCTGACTCAGCCACATTTAACCTCTCGGAATTTCAGTTTCCCAACTATAAAATGGAGATAAATAATTACCTAATGGGTCACTGATTGTAAAACATGACAAAACATACATATGTAAAGTGCTTATCGTGGCTGATACAGCAGGTATTCATATGTTAAGTTTCTCCTTGCAGTAAAACCAAGTCTTGATCACTGACTACAGTAACAAAATTTCAGGTTCATTATCCGCCCCTGCCTTCCCCTCCTCCTCTGTACAGGTAACTCATTGTGATGGAGCTTTACATGTATCAACTCATTTAACACAGACATTGTCACTTATATATACCACATGTATAAGAGGAATGTATTAGCTTTGGTGTCTTAAAATACCCAACTGTTTTCTTCTTTCAGCTTTAGGAACTATCTTAATTTGTCATAAAACATTATGGGGGAATATATTTTAGCTTTTTTTTTTCAGTAACAGATGAAACAATGAGATAATATATTATTTAATTACACATTATCCTTTAACTCATGGGGAAGGTGGGTTAATTCTCATACTTGGTATAATGATTATCAAAATCTAAGGCAAAAAAACAATAAACAGAACTAGAAATATGGAATTTTGGTTTAGGCTTCTTATTCGGAATACAATACCCAGAACAGCGTTTCTCAATGTTGGCAATATTGACATTCTGGGCTGGATAATCCTTTTCTGTTGTTGTTAATTGAAGTATAGTTGGATAATTCTTTGTTGCAGGGGCTGTCCTATGCAGCCCTGGCCTCTATCTACCAGATGCCAGTGGCACCTCCCAGCCCCTCTTCTCAGTTAATGATAACCAAAAATGTCTCCAAACATTGCTAAATGTTCCCTGGCGGGGAAAACTGCCCTGAGGTTCAAAACCGCTGACCTAGAATAAACAATTTAAGAGAGTGAAAAAGAGACAAAGATTGCATGTAGTAAAAAATAAAATCTGTAGAAGTGGGAGGAAAGCTATACAGGTTGCATAAAAACAGAATTAATGCAGTGCTAAAATTTTCTCTATTAATTAAAAATTCTACCACAGCTCATCTTAAATGTACAGGTTAAAAGTTTTTTTCAAAAGTTAATCTTTCATACTACATACTTGTTATCACTCACTACCAGAAAGATTCTGTCCAATGTTACTTGGGGTAGTTACTATAGAAATTGCATACATTGCATGTATGTTTTCAACTTCGTAGGTATAATGAGGACTTTTGCTTGCCCTTACCCCTCAAAACGTAACCCTAACCCCCATGGGAGTTAGAAAGCAGCCAACTCAGATTTTTAAATCTTCATTTTGAAAAGAGAAATGCAATACATTATCTTCTTCTCATGTAAAATAGGTGTTTCATGAAATTCATTTGGTTAGAAAATGAACACACAGAAGTCAGCATGTTTTCAAGTGGGAACTAAGGTAGGAGGAAGACTCCTTCCAATTTATGTTCTCAAGGACAACATGACCCTGAAAATGTATTCTCTGTCATTTTTGTAATCTGTCATACAGATATAACTGGCTTTATTTCAAGGAACCTGTAAAATATTTACTTGCTTTTAAGGTTATACATGTAACAAAGAGAATAAAAATAACAGTAACTTTAAACCTCCTAGTATGATCATGTGAGGAGGAAAAGAAAAACAGCTTCCCCAAAAGGAAAGCTGACAAAATTGTTATAAATTCAAAATACTGCAAAATACTTTTATATTCACCAAAAATTAAGAACCAATGAAGACGTTTCCTGGACAATGGATTTACTGAATCTGAAAATTTCTACCCATTCAAAAAAGTTTTTCCATCTAAACACCTACTCCTGACTGTTTTTTCTCCTGTAATTCTGAGTATTGAACAAATTTAGGAACTAGGCTTTGCTCTTTTAGGGCAGATATGTGTCAGCACTGCTCCTTCTCGGCCATCATGTGCTGTGTGTCAGTTTCGTTCTGAGGGATTTTACAAACATCAGCAACCACATTATGTCCCTGTGGGGCAAAAGTGGGGAGGAGCATCACTGAAAGTGCTAGTAAAAGCAGTGCAACTGCGCCTACAAGGAAAGTGGAGCGGGTTGTATATAGGCTGCACGTGCCTATGCAGAGGGACAGAGTCGCACAACTGACACAAGCCGAGTCACACAACCCAGAAAAAAAGAGCTGTGCCTGTGTGTAATTTGCATAAGCTACAAGAGGCAAAGAAACACAACGGACAAGATAAAAAAACACTGTGGGCGTGGCTAGAGGAGCGGCAGCACTGCTCATTCCTGTAATGTTAGTCCAGGAGAGGGTGGAGAGTTTGCTCTCCGGGCACTGTGAGCATGCTGCTCTTGAGACCGTGTCATTTGTGCTGTGGGGTCAAGGCTATCAAGGCTCCCCTGAGCCTGCACAAGGCAACAGGTCCACGGACCACAGCAGTCTAAGGTGCTTACCATGATATTTTCAGAGATACAGCAAGGAGGCCTGCTCAACAGATTTTCAAGGAGGTACGTTGAACAAGAACATATTTTTAGCAAAGAGGAGAAAGATGTGCTCAATTTTAAAGCTTTAAATATCAACTCATACCCCTATTTAATATGAATATATCTAGGACGAAAAGCTTAAGAGGTAAGTTTCTGAAGATTAAGTGTATGAGAGCAATTACATACTAATTAGATCTATACCAGATTTTAATTTAATAAAATCATATTTAAACATTTATTATTTTTTCCTTATTTCTATGAAGAAAATATCCCCAATAATGGGACAGCATGTACCAGACAAACATATCTTTAATTTATCTATTTCTATATATTTTCTTTTTAAGTTTTAAATAAAGAAAATAGCTGGATATAGTAAAGACTTTTTGAAAAAGTATAAAATGAAGCTAAAAAATATGAAATGTATCCTTCCTAGATAAGGACTATTACGAGTTCTCTTGACTTCAAGAAGGGGACTAAAATTTCTTTCGTAAAGATGCTGAGAGCAAGATATTTTAAGATTCTTGCAAAATGTGAAAAATATAACTAAAAGAATAGAACACAAATATTATCATCATCTACTTATCTGCAGTCATCAAGAAGAGTAAAAAGACAAAAACCCCTGTATTTTAGGCAGAAGTAATTCAAAACCAAAGGCAAAGAAATTAAAAGTATTACATTTTCCTTTTGATTTTAGTCTAAGACCAGCTCCCTCACTGGAAGACTTTTTGTAGACACACGTTAAGACAGCCGGGCAGGGAAGCTATTCCAGTTCTTCAACTCTTTATCTAAAGTGAGCACCAGGACACACAGGGGGAGTGTACATTATCTGCTGGCTCTTCCTATCTTCCACGGGACAAACTGATTCCCAAGTAACAAAAATTAAAGCCCCACTGGCTCAAACCGCAGAGCTGCCATGTCTTGGCAGACAGAGGAATTCAATAAATAAAAACTGCTTCTATGATTTACATTATTAAGCAAAAGGAAGGAAGGAAGGAAGGAAGGAAGGAATGAAGGAAGGAAGGAAGGGAGGGAGGGAGGGAGGGAGGGAGGGAGGGAGGAAGGAAGGAAGGAAGGAAGG